ATGCTACAGGTGTCTAGGTAGCTTTGGCGACTGAGTGCCAGGCACTTCGACCATGCATCGGAAGAACTACCATCTCGAGCCCATCAAATCATCAAAAGCCTTGTCTTCAACAGACTCGTCTCCGTCTCCGAACAAATTCTCCCTCAGTAGGCTCCTCTTCGACAGGCTCGCTATTCTCGGGGATTTCCTCGTCTTCAGGGCCCTCATCATCTCCGTCACCTTCGTTGTCCTCAACCTCGTCTTCGTCATCGTCACCATCTTCTTCATCATCCTCATCATCCTCATCATCCTCATCAGAGTCCTCGTTATCGTCAGAGTCCTCGTTATCGTCAGAGTCGTCGTCATCGTCAGAGTCCTCATCATCGTCAGATTCTTCGTCATCATCAGAGTCTTCTTCGTCCTCGGGATCTTCATCCTGCGGCTCCTCCTCCTCGGGGACCTCATCACTTGGATCCTCTTCAAACTGTCTCAAGCGAAGGTCGCGACGATCCTAGTTGCCACGCGTGACCGAGACGTAGACTGTGTGGTTCTCGTTCCACCAGTAGCCACTTTTCCCATTGACAACGCACGTTGTTTGAATCGGGTTCATCATCCGTGCAGTTGTCAACGAATAGTCCACATTGTCAACTCCACCAGCTGAGCATACGGTGGCCTTGCATGTACCATGAGTCTGGGTGAAGCAAGTTTTGTCGGTCGATACGGTGACTCCATCCTTTTGCCCGGATTGTATCTTTGCGAAAAGGGCTGGGCAGTCAAGGGGGTTTGGGGCAGTGATCTAGTTCTCTGTCAGCTCTGTGACATCGGTACGATGTGTGTTCTTGTCGCTTTATCGCTGATTATGCAGCAGTAGATACAGGTACATGCGTGGAGATGTGACAGGAAGCATGATCCAGAAGAGATGGAACGAGCAGACAGGAGGGAAAAGAAGCTTACATGATTGCATCCCCAATCATTTCCAACGCCGGGAATCATCTTGGAGATGGCAGAGCCCACGTTGGTGGTTGTTTCACGTTTCAGTGTCTCGAAGCTTGGGACATTGTGAGACCTGGGTTGAATCTCTTCGTGATGCCGAGGTTTGACTTCCTCGTGGTGACGAGGCTTGACGTCAATGGGGCTGGAAATGCCAAGGGCAGCTAGTGTCAGAGTGACAATAGAGAGAGAAAACATCTCGGTCGCCTGGCTTTTGATGTTGCCGAGTGGCGTATTTCTGAGTGGAAGAAGTGACTTGAAAGGAATGCTGGCAGAATGTGTGTTGGTCCAAAAAAGTAGAGGGATGCTGTGGTGTCGTTGGCAGACGAAGGATAAAGAAGAGATGGAAGAGAGGGTGGGAGTCGGTTTGGGGAGGTTTATATGGGAGAAGACAGACACTCTGGTCCTTGGACTGCTAACAGCTTGGAGCTTCCACGAAAGGAGGAAGTTACCTTCTTCGATGGGAAGCTTGCCGACAGCAACTGCCATATCTACCCTGGAAGATGATGAAGTCTCCGATCTCTCCTTCCCGTCGCCAGCGCCAAGGTCATCTGCGGAAGTTGCATCGTACTCCTCAACCTCCATATCCCTGTCCTTGGAACCTTCCCAATCTTGGTGGAAGTCGTCCCTCACGTCACACATACCCAATCAAGTCAGGCGACCGTTTGCTCTGCACGACATTAGCGGCAGGATCATCCTTTCCAAAAACAGGAGGATGGCAGGAACAGCTCAAGATTTCGAGCAGCGACGTTTTTGATGTTGATCCACGACAGAGGGCTTGAGGGGAGAAGCACCTTTCATGACGCACAAGCGGCAGGTACACGAGGTTTCGGTTTCCTCTCGCCGGACCGATTCTGCGTCGTTGCGAGGCTACACCGATCTATTCCGTCCTCTATGATTGTACCACTCGTTGGAAAGATCGAGTCTTTGTTGCTCCTCCCTGCGTAAGTTGATGGGGAACGACCGCGCGATCATGGCCACCCAAGAGTGACCGGGATGTCGTCACCGCCTTCCTCGAATCACAGCTGAGGAAGCTTGAAAGAAACCACGTTGATGTCTCGTGTTACTGTACCATGTGCACCGTTGCAACTTGATGTCTCGGTTGCCATCAAGTTCGGAGCCCGGTGTTGCGCATTTCCAGGTTCAAGGTCCGCGAGCTCCCACACCGACACTTCGGTCAGGGATTGGACACGTGGGGATGGTCTTCCAGAGCACCATTTTGCAAGCACATATTGTCGGTAAAACCTGAGCTCCTGATTTGGGCCGACTTTGATCCAAGCTAACGCAGGGCTATCTGTCCTCAACTCGACGAGAGCACCCGGAGATACAGGGGCATATAGCGGCATCAAAGAACCAGCATAGGATCACAGAGACTCATATGCCTCTCATACCTCTACATCTTGACCAATTGACCAGTCATTAGTAATATCATAGCTGCTAGTGACTAGAAAAGAAGTTCCTCGTGTGATCCATTTACTAAAGAGACTGGGTGTAGATTGAGAGATGGGTAACCCAGTGGTTTCGGCAATGATATGATCGGCCCAGACATGCGCTCTTCGAGATGTAAAGAGCACTTTACGTAGAAACACCTACAGCTGGCCAGAGTAATTTGCAGCTTGATCGTGACGAGTCGTCATTGCTATGAGACCTACATAAGCCCGCCACCTCAACGATTCCTCGCTTCCACCTGGGGCGATTTAAGAGGATCACGAGAACTTGTCCATGTTTACCAGAATTATAGCAGCAACAAATTGATTAAGTTGGCCAATCTAGCTTACCAGACTCTTTCCAGGCATACATGAAAGTCTGCCCAGCCCAAAAACATTTCATCCAAGTTGCTTCGTGCTCATTACCTGAGTCAACACTTTCCCGATATCCGCTTGTCTGCACACGGGGTTCAAGCAAGTTTATAGTTGATTTGACAATAGTGAAGACGTCCAGCTAGGGAGGGATATACACTGGCAGAACCTCAAGCAAGGTGCTATGGAAGTTATCAGAGTATCAATATGATTATTCGCGCGGAGAACTTAGATAAAACCGACAATCAGAATCAGATTAGTGGAAGTCTCTCATAGCCATGCTTCCCAATGCACTCAGAAAGTTTGTAAGATAGAAGGCCAAGGAAACACTCAAGCCGTCTGCTTTTTCATCCTTTGGAGCTTCACATTGTGCCTCTCACGTCTGTGCCAAAGAGCCTGCGATGCAAACAATATACCGATGATCATCGTGACACTGAAAACAGTCAAAGACAAAATCTTCCATAAATCTATGCATGTTTCCGGATATGATCGGAGCGGGTTGAAGTCATTTTCTCCAGGCTGGAGTGGGTCGGTGACCGGCGCGGTGGGAATGACGGGAGCGATCGAAGTGGTGGAAGTGGTGGGATCGGGGGTGGACATCTTTGAACAGTCGTCCTCAGGTAGATAATGGATATGTCAAAGCTGAAGCGAGTCAGGTTCTAAATCAACGATGCTACATGATGAGAGGCGCGGACGATACTAACTTGTTGTAGGTAATGGCAAGTCTGAGGTACAATATCACCTTGCGGCAATGTCTTCCCAGCGCCAGCACGGCCGTTCGTGAGAGTTCCGGGCTCGTTTGTGTGATATGGTTGTATATTCATTCAAGACGTATCTTTCTGAAATGCAACTAGTCAGATCCATCATCGACGGTACTACTCGGGGAGAGGTGTGCATAATACCAAATATGAAGTCCGAAGTGCAATAGCACCTGGCATCGAATTCCCAACGCCGGCGCGATGTGTCTTGAACTTCCCGAGTTCGTGCTTAGGTGGTTTCTGATAGTATATTCGTCCGAATGGCAGTTGATGTATCTCTTCGTCCGAGTATTCCATCCGGTCGAGGTCATCTCTCACATATATATCATCCCATCACAACAAAGCATCTGCTGTCCACAGAACAGCGTCGCCCCCAGGCCAAGGGAAACACCACCACCCACAAAGGAAGCAAAATCACCTGTGCAGTCATCCTTTGACATCTCATTTACCCCCGGCGATTCTCCACTCACCCAGACTGTTCCTGCTCTTTACGCTTCTTCAGCGGACTCTTCCACTCTTTTCTCTTTGGCAAGCACGACGCGAGAAGATGTCCCTCGGTCAGTGAGGTGTTGACCTGTTCACCATCACAAGGCACTCAATCTCCCCTGTTGACCAAAAATAAATCCCACCCATCCTTTGATCACACGCCTTTCAGTCAACAGACTGTCTGCCCCATCTTGATCCTCTACCTTAGCCTCGACCAAGTAGGGCTGCTCTCCTGCACCTCCCCTCTTCACAGTCACTCACCTCCCACACAAAGCCATTGTTTACCTTGACCTCCCACATACATCCACACTTTTCCTTCAGCAGAGGTGAAATTTTCCTTACTCACCCCATCTCCCGACTTTTCCGTACAAACCAGACACCAAGACGACGCGAAATAAAATCCGGCAAGGTCGGGGGAGAAGAACATTGCTCAAGAAGGAGGCCGCATTCCTTCCCCCCTTTTCCCTCAGCACACCTCACCCAAACCAATATTTCGCATCGATTCATCATCCGACGACTACCACAACAATTAAAAAATCACTTCCATTGTGAGCGGTAAAAAGAGATCCCATTCATATTTTTTACCGCCCTCGCTCTTCTCCCAAACAAAAACATCACAAATATCACGTGCGATCGTGCCCAGTAGGTGATTCCTCCTTCTCACCACTCACGTCCCCCCTCCATCTCGAAAATAGTAACGACTCACCAGCGTCTAGACGGAGCTCATTTTGCGATATCGTTTTGGCATTTCTGCTAGGTTGCTTCTTGTTGTTTGTCCAGCATTTTGCAGCCTACAGCTATACGCACGATACCAGTACAGTTATTCGACTTGACTCGACACAACACAACGATACTCATTGCTCACGATACCTGCTGCTGGCCGTACATCACTATACCCAAGCGAACAGGACGGCGTCATAGGCATCTACAAGAATCCTAGTGCCCCTTTCAAACATACCTTAAGTCCCTATTGCGGGCATCCTCCAAAATGGCGCCCTCACCACTGCACTCCCTCCCCTCACCAACCACATCCTTCAAGCCCATCCTAGCAGCGTTCACACAGCCGCCAACAGCAACCCCAACAACCTTCATCACGACAGTCGCAAAACTCGTCCCCCGAACCGTGACGACCGTCTCCGTCTACATCACCCAGGTCCCCTCGGCCACCGCAGCACCAGACGCACCAAAGCTCAAGGACCCAGTCTACGGAAACCTCACCTGGACCTTCATCGTCGTCCCCTGCGTTCCCGTTATCGTCCTCATCTTCTTCATCTTCACCTGCTACCAGGAGCGCCGCCGCGCCATCAGAAACATGAAGAGGAACCCCGATATCGAGATGCAAACCTTTCACAGGTTCTGGTTCCCCTGGCGCGAGCTCGATAAGAACGAGGTCCCCAACGAGGTAAGTACAAGCAGAACCAACCCGTCTTCTTCTCACATCACCCTTCCCCCCGGTGCCCGAGATGGTGGTGATGTTGGTCCTGGCGATGCTGCTGCTGCTGCTTCTGCTGCTGCTTCAACTTCAGCTCCAGAAACCAGCGGCAGCACGTCCCCAGGCATCCTCATCCTCGGAGAACACCCCCGTCGCAAGAAGCGTCGATGGGCAGCGTGGCACCCAAGTGACGGAACCCAGATTCCCCCCATAACCCTCTACGAGAACCCCCCTTCCTGGGGCCGACGACACCTCTGGTCCGAGGTCATGGCGTATCCATCCCTCCTGAACCCAGGCCTCATCCGTCGTCGCAGCAAAACCCCCACCAACACCAAGCCCGACCCCGCCGACGATACCTCCTCCTCTTCCTCCTACTCCTCCCCTCCGAGCCCGAACGCCTCTCCCCCGAGACCTACCCCCCCTCGAACCGCCCCCCCGAGAACCTCACCCCCTCGAACTCCCGGCGGTCTACCTGTAATCACCGAAACGGAATCCGACGATGGCGACATCGCCACTGCTCTGAGACGCCCCCGATTCGCAGAGCCCACGACTCGAATCATCGAACCCGAACGCGAACACGGTCCAGGACGAGATACTAACCCACACCCTTCCCAGATCTACGGAAGAACAGGCCGCCGTCGCCACTGGGGCCAAGAAGACGACCATCCCCGTGAGGGCCAGAGCTCCAGCTCTAGCGAGAACCAGACAGACACGTCAGACGAAGGAGACACCAACAACGGCTCTGACAACGATGAAAACCACTCGGACGCAGACTCCATAACCACACAGAAGCCCCTCCGTCCCCCAACCGACATCCCCTCCTTGGGCCGCTTCAAGGACATCTCTTCCTCTACTGGCACCAGTACTCCAAAGAGCACCACCGCCGCAAGCAGCGGCGGCACAGGCACTTGGGCAGCAGGCCACATCCCCTCCTACTACGGCGCCTCTCCGACCCCAGCGCACAATTACGCCCATCAGCAGCAGTCATCTTCAAGCGCATCCACCTCAGCAACTCCAACAGCAGCAGCAGCAGCAGCCGCTGGCGCCGCAGCCCTATCCCGCCGAGCCCATACCGCAGCATCTCGAGCCTCCGCCACAAACTCAGACGGCGTCTCCCCGCTCTCCAGCGCGCGATCCTCTACCGTCACCGTCACCGGCGACGCCCGCCGCAGAACAACAAACACCGTCTCCAGCATCGGATCCGAGCCGGGCTCCCCGACGGAGGGAGAATCCCGCTCCCCAACCCGCTTCGGCACCGTCAAGTGGCGTTCAGCTCTCGTCTTCGATTCTGACGAGGAAGAAGGCCAGAGCAGCAGCAACAACAAGACAGGAAATAAGAATGCCAAGCCCTAGAACAGCGAGGCCTCTTCTTCATCTTCCGGTGCTGCTGCTGCTGTAGACCTTAACGCTGTTACCGACGAGCCCACGACCAAGACCAAGTCAAAGGCCAAGGGCAAAGGCAAGGCGAAAGCCCAACCCAGATCGCCCGGAGCCAAGACCGACAACATCACCGCCAAGGCCAAACCCAAATGCACCTGCAAAGGAAAAGGCAAAGGCAAAGCTGTAGCCTCATCCAGTGGCGGTGCATCTCCCATCGTCAGCGTCGTCGCTGAATCATCCACCTCCGCGTCCGCGTCTTCGTCATACTGCCCTCGGCACTCTCACCAAAGCCACAACCCCGCCGTCGTCGAGGCATCCCAGTCCACCTCCGCGGCACCGGACACCCGAGACCCGGCGCACAAGAACAAGAACAAGGCCCATCGCAGATCGATTACAGAGTGGCCCCGCGTCTGCTCCGGCTGCGGCCAGGTGGGATAGAGAAGAAGTATCTCCCCGCGACGCAAATCCCCCCCTGTCCCATCGATTCCGTCTGGCTGTCAAGTGAACGAGAGCGAAACGGTAAAGTCACAAGATCCAACTGATACTTTTCCGGAAGACGTGGGAGGGAGACAGATGGAAAGGGAAAAAGGGACGGCAATAGAGTGGGCGGCCGAGGTGTTTGCAAGAGGAGATGGAGAAGAAACCAACCCACGATGAATGGCGATGCCCATCCACAACGAACACACTTCCCCTCCCGAATCCAAGATCCATCCCACCAACAACACCACCATTCCCATCTCATCTGAAGAAAATCCCACCGCTATCGTTCGTACACAAAAAGCCCCGTACTCGCTTGGCGCCCCGCGGACCCGAATACCATGCCAAAGATGGAAGTCCATCCTTTTCAGTTTGCCATGGAGGGGGATCGACAAGTGGGATGGACGGACGGTTCAGTTCCAAACTCTCTTGAACCTTTTCTTCCGCACTGTTTGCACCTTTCTGCTTCTTCAGCCACAACTCATGACAAGGTGATATCCCCGTCCCTTCCCCCATCCATCACCTGTTTTCCTCTCTCTCCCCCCTTCGCTCTCTCTTGCACACAACTCTTCTAACACGTTTGAGCCATCACTCTAGTTCCCTTTCGTTCGCTTACTACACCATCCCATCCTAGCCGACATCTTGGATTTGAGATGGGTAAAACCCGCGGAACTTTCTTTGACTTTCTCTTCTTTCCTTTTTCTGAAATCTCCATGTGGTGCGAGAGATTGTGCGAGTGTAAGGATACTGTACGTCTAGGTACCAGGATAAACAAGGAGTACCTCTTTGAACTTTGCTGGGTGGATCGGGATCCGGCACGCTTTGCAGCCTGTACTATTCGGTGATGGCCCTTCCAAGCATGAACGTGATTGTCGAGGTGGTCGGCCTGTGTGTCCTTGTCAGCTCGTCTTTCGGTCTGTAGGAAAGAAGGGTCTACCCCAACAAACGTGCGTCGTTTCATGGCAATCACTTTGGCCAAAACACGTAAAAAGAAGGGATGATCCATGTCCACCAGTTGGAAGAAGACTCGAAACGACGGGAGACGCAGAGAGTCAAGATGAGAATACGTGTAACCAGAAAAATGCAGGATACCCGTCAGCCAGAGCGCTTCTCGACTGCGGGATCCCTGATGAAGTCTTTGATTGCTCTCGCCTGATACCCTAATGCGTATAGAGGCCGTCTAATAGAGAAGCCTAACAATAATAATCCCACTCCAATAATCCTTTTATACCACAAACCGCAGCTATGGCGAAACCGCATGCGTCTCTCCTTGACGCAGTAAGCGTGCCTCCAATACCCTTGTACAAAAAGTGCTGGTGCTGTTCTCCCCATTTGAAGAATCGAAAAGTAGGAAAAGCCCTGGTCTCTCCGTAAACGTAGACATCAAAGTGTATTGCTTCGTGTCTCGTAGCGCCGATGCCCTCGGACTTCTCACAGCCCGTTGGGTTATCGTGACCCCTTCTGTAGGATACTGAATCGCAAAGTGCCGCTGCTCGCTCGCTGATGGAATGTCCATGCATTGAACTCCAAAAAACGCCTGATCGTAATTATGGTGGCCCCTTCCCTTTGTTGATGACAAGGCTCGATGTAAAAAGAGACAGTAGAGGAATAGCCGCCCAAGGTGACCATCGGGCGACAGTAATAATGGTTCGTTGTATATAATACAAGCTGAAGGGAAAGCGGCTCGAGTGTGGTGGTAGTAGAGCGTCTATGCGGCTATGTTCGGTGTGATAGTCGGCTGAATGGACAGATTGACGTTTTGTAGTCCAGTGTCGAAGTGTAAATGTCGCTGAAAGACTTGTCTTCTTCACTTGTTCCCGTCAGGGGTGCCCCAGATGGGTGCGCCCAAAGGCTTGCTGACGCCAAAGCCGACACCAACACCGACGCCAATAACGAGGAGGCCAATGGCCACCTTCATGATGATGCGATTCTTCTTGCTCATGCGAGCCATGCAGGCGCAGGAGCCCCTATCACGCTTTGCGGCCTTCGCTTTGGCCTTCCAATCTTGCTTGCCCGGCCATATCGTTGGGCAGTCTTTTGTAGTTGAGATGCTCTTCATGGCATACGGATCGGAGGAGGATGTCGTGGTGATCATAGCCTCGATGTCGGTATCGAAGGGGTTCTCGTTGCGGTACGACCGCGGGGTAGAAAGGTTGCTGTCGCGGGGCATTTCCAGGCTCTTTTCGGGGGTTGAAGCAACAGGAGTAAGTGTGCCCGGGGTCGTGGCGATGGTGTCGGACAGCTTCGAGTACGCCGCCTTCTCGGGGAGAGCAATGCTGGCGACCGTGGTGTGAACGGCCACCTTTTCTTGGGGAACGGCCATTGTTGCGGTAGTGGGTTGGCAAGGCTAGCTTGCTAACGATGTGTGACGAAAGTGTCGTATCGAAAGATGAATGTTCAATTGCTGTGGATGTCTGTCCAGAGGGGAGCAGATGCAATTGCCCAAGACTGCTGCGAGAGGTGGGTTAGTCAACGGCATTGACGAGGTATCAAGAGTGAATCAGGGCAGAGGCTGGAGGAGAAGTGGGTGAAGTAGGATAGGAATTGAGATCAACGGGAACCAGACGGTGGTGAGAAGGATTGGGGTGACGTACATTGGAGGGAAGCTCACCCAATAAGTGACCTAGTATGTAAGGAATGAAGAATGACAGGCGAAGCCGAATGACTTGTAGACGAGCAGCAATGGCCTGATATCAACCCACTCGAATGGTTCCAGCCAACAGGTGAGGAAGCGGAGCAGGTGGGCAGTCGGTGCAAGTCCCAAGCCAAATGCCTTTCCACTGACAGACGGTTTCGAAGCCGAAAACTGCGGAAGGGTCTGGTGATGTCAACCGGGGGGTGGTTGGCAGATCGAAGAGGTAGCGAGACACGGGGCGCGGAAAGGGAGAGTGAGGATCGGCGTTGAAATTGAGAGTGTGGGAGTGCGGTCGATAGAGGCGAGTTGACTTAAGGGAGGAGGAAGGGGAGTGCGGCGTAGATGAAGGGTCCGAGAAGTAGGTATGAGGAGCTAAGCTGGTGGCAGAAGTAGAGAAAGCTCGATCCAACGGGTGGTGGGAGGATCAGGATTTGGATTTGGATCTTGAGGACGACAGATGGTAAACGGTAGACGGCCGAGGACTCTTCAGAGAAGAGACGAGACGAGACGAGGATGGCGAATGGCGAGAGACGAGACGTTGAAACCAGAAACCGAAGACCCGTTTAACAGCGCATTTGGGACGACCTTTGACTTGGCAGATGTTGCAAAGTTGAACCCTCGATCAAAGAGACGACACACGGCAGAAGAAGAGTAGGGCCTGAGAATGAGAGCGAACGTGCACGGGGAGGGAGGTGTCACGATGGTTTTATTGGGGATGGTATGTATGGCATTGCGTGTGTACTCTTGAGTCTTGGTCGTTTGGTTCTTTGGGTGTGGACTGTGGATTCTGGACCTGGATCAGCCAGAGACGTAGTGAGTAGGGGATAGAGAGCAGAGAGGCAGACTGGGGGGAGTGGATGTTACGACGACAGAGGTGTGTGTATACAAATGCTCCGTACAGAAAGAGAGCGGGCAGGTGCAAAGCAAGGTATGTATCCACCTGTAAAGTACGTACTCATTGGTTAGTGGCCCGACGGGTGTGTGCGAGACAGCCCAAGAGACACAGAGCAAGAGCAGAGAGACTGAGAGAGAGCCACAGAGCCACGAGAGCGGCAGGCGCCAGAGAGAGAGACAAGAGTGAGAAAGAGCAAATTGGTGAGTGGCAGACATGGGATGGACGAGCGAGACGAGATTGTGGATGTGCATCGCGCAGGGAACACCAAGATACGTACCAGTACGTATCTTTCGAGGACCCTCTTTGGACCTGGGGGGGGAGGCAAATGGAGCAAATGGAGCAATGGAACAAGCCGGGGTGAGCCATTGGGGTGTCAATGGGAGTGGGAAGAGTCGAATGGAGCCAAGATTGCGCCGGGCAGGGGTATCATGGGGACCCAGGCCCGGCTGCTATTTTCTCTTGCAGCAGCGTATTTTCCCTCGCCTTTTTTCCTTTGCACCACAGTCTGCAGTCTGCGCTATCAATATCTGTACGACTACGAATAACTGTATCCGTACGTTATTATGCCATGCCACTTTCTGCTGGGGGGGCTAAATTGACCGGGCCAGACAGGTCCACCAGCCAAACAAGGGCTGTCACTGTCAGTCTAGCTCTGACGCCAGCACCAGCACCAGCACCAGCACCAAAAAACCTGCACCAACACCAGCATCCGGCATCATCACAGACTGGTTTGTTCTTCTTTCTCTCTTTCTCTTGTGGTTGTTGTTTCTGGTGCAGGGCCCAATGCTGGAGCTTGGGACACTTGGGGTTTAGGAGACAGACACATCACACTGACCTCGACACTGACACTGGACGGCGGCACCGACTGCGGCGACGAACTCGTCGAGAAGGAAATCGGAATCGCGCATTGATGCCGTCGAATGTCGAAGCGATGCGAGGTGAGGCGATGCGATGCGATGGAAAGTATCCGTTCGTGTACTCTTGCCCTATTCCTTTTTTGCCTTTTGTCTGCTTCTATTCTCCATTCTAGGTTTTCGAGCCTTGTCATGGGCCTCCCTTGACTTTGTCCTTACCTAAGGTTCCTCTGTAGCGATGTACCTCACATGTTTCTTACCTAATACACCGACTGCAAAGCCCGTAAATCGGACAAGATACGTACCCTCGACGGCTCAAGTCTCCACGAGGACGAGGACGAGGGGAAAAGAAAGGAATTTTGAACCAGCTGAACCGGGGTCACAAACAAACTCGCAGCCCCCGTGCCTAGCCCTTTGCTCCGTACACAGTAAAGTCTGTAGACTCTTTACTAGTGTACTCCGTAGTAGATTCAGAGACTGGCTTCATTGTTGCAACCTCTATCGTGCTACCTCGGGCCAGTCCAGACCACGAATCAGGTCTGCAACCAGATCAAGTCTTGCCCTCTTTCTGTCATAA